CAAGTTAATTAGTATTAACTTTGTCGACTAGATTCGCACCTATACTAGAGTAAACATGTGATTAAGCAATTAATGATAACCACCGATCATTAAACAACTTCCATATTGTCATATTCACTATAAGCGTCCAAGTGTTCCATAAACATTTACTACGATGAAGTCACTCAAGTCAAGTGCTCACTATCCAGAGCGATGGCGATTCGAATCGATTCCTAACCACCGGTGATTTATTCCTTACACAAATCTCACTCACCCGCTAAAGTGAGATATTGATCACCGAGTCAACTTTCCGGTATCTCGAGTTTGCCAGAACCACATGTACCGGGGGCCGACCGATCGCACTTTGGTCTTATCATCCCGCCCGTGTCCTACCACACCGCGGCCGCGACAAGGCTTGCATGGCAATCTACTCGGCCCGAAAAATCTCCCGGCACCAGCGGTCGGAAGGTACTTTATCCGCCAGCTAAATGTAAGGCATGCGTTCAACATGACTCGAGGCCCAACAACTGTCGGTCCTTAATACATTACTGACGGAAACACTACGGTCAAAACTCGCAAGTCTCCGCCCCGGTCTCAACTTCATTTAACACTTAGTTATACCATGACTTCATAGCCATCCAAGCAGATCCGGTAACCACCTATAGCTCGCGGTGACAGAAATCACCGACTTCTACCGGTCTAAGCCCGGCTAAGCATTGACTCGATTGCGGATAGCGAGGTAACAAGGATATAGTATAACAAAGGTAAACAAGGTATAATGCAAAAGAACGGTTGCAAACAACTCCCTGAACGTAATGCATCAATTAAAGTAAAGCATTTAATGAAATCATTGCAACCGGGAGAAAGATGCTCGGGGCTTGCCTCTCTCGAAGGAGCTTCGGACGGTGATCGGGGCACTCCGGAAGTTCTTCAACGTCCTCCTCGTCCGGCACGGCACTTCTCTGCTTTGTACCTCGAAGCGCTCCTCGGGCTCCTCGGGAATGACGACTGGGTTCTCGGTTGGCGATCCTGTATGATGCAATGCGTGTAAGTGCCTATGCAATCGGTGCATCGAAGGAGATGAATGCAATGGATATGTTGAAAAGCAAGGTAGTCACATCATCCAAGAAAATATACTACAAGCACATGTCATCTACTGCATTCTCTTCTACTACTAATAGGTTAAGTCAACACATCTTATTAAATGCTTCAAAGATACACCAAAGCTAACATTATTAACTAACTTGCATTAAAGAGGATTATTTTATTTCATTTGAAACTAAGGCTACAACAGCAACCTATATTTCTATTGCTTATAAAAATCTAAGAAAATTACAGTAGCATAGTACTACTCTAAGTAGACTACCATAAAATTTTCATGGCATTTGGATAAGTAAAATAGTCTACACAAAAATGACAAGCTATGGCATGATCATGAACATGAAAATACTTTGTACTGTGAAAAGTGTCAAACAACAGAATTAGTATTTTTCCTATGTTCTTCATAGCATACAATGACTGTACAAAATTTATCACATGCATGTTTTATACAAAGTTTGCTCTCTAACAAAAATAACAAAAATTAGCCATTAAAGGCACTTGAACTACACTTCAAAATTTTCCCACAGCACATGCATGAAACCTATTTTTCCTAGGAAGTACATAACATAAGAAGATTAACAAACTTGAAATCATATTTTTCTGAAGCCTATATATTTTTCTATATATTTTTCAAGTTATCAGCAATATTCAAGATTAAATAAAATTCTACAGAAAAGTATCTCAAAAATGACATGCACAATTTTTTTCCAAGTAGATCTGCTGATAAGGAACCTAGCAAAATTTGTTTCAACAAATTTGGAGCAACTTTGAGTACCCAAACATTTTTCAAACTATTTCAAATTTCAAATAATAAAGAATAAATGAAAAACAATTCATCCTACTGCTACTGGACCAGCCCACTGGAGTCAGCTGGCCCACGGCCATTTTCACCTCTCTGTGGCCCGAGCGCAAGGGAGGGAAGGCGGCCCATGAATGCTTGAGCACACACATTGAAAACAGGCCAAGCAGCTTGACCAGCTCCGCTCTCTCAAAGAAGAATGGCCCGGCAAATGGGACCCATGACGCCAATGAGAGCAAATAGGGACGGAGAGGGACGATGGTATGGCAGTTCTGAAACTTCGCCGACGGCGAGGTCCCCGGCGAAAACGAAGGGCACCAACGTGCTCCCCATGCCAAACCGCGTCGAGATAGAGGCGAATAGGGAGGCGGGCAGGGGAAAAAAGCTTCAGCGACAGTAATGGCGGAGGCGGCGGTGTGGTAGTCGCCGGTGGAGCATCTCCGCCACGGCGAGGTGCCAGGAGGCGCTCGGGGAGACTCAACGTCGCCGTCGGCGGTGCTTAGCGCACAAATCTGGTGGGAAGAGGAGCCGGGAGGGAGTCCACGGGGCGGAGCTCACCAGTGAGCTTCGGCCGTGCTCGCGAGCCATTCCCAAGAACAGGATGCTTACCCACGGTGAAGTAAGCGCGAGCCGCAGGTGCTGTGAGGGTGAAGGCGAAGCTTGGTGAGATGGAGTGGCGCGCCGGTGAGCGTGGTGGGACAGACGAGCTAAATCCGTGAGGGAGCTAGTGGCGGCCGGTGGCGGGTGCGTTCTTTGGTCTTTGTCCGAGCGAGAGGCGAAAGGAGGAGCAGGAAATGCGATGCCGGGCGAAGCTCTGCGGGAGCTTAAGCGTGTGTGCAGTGAGTGCAGGCTGCTGCTGGCGCGCGATCGCATGATGTCGCCGCATTGCCGACGGTGGTGGCGCGCTGCGGCGGCAAGCAAGCCGACGCTGATCGGGCGGTGTGTGTGTGGGGCCGAGGCGAGGCGGGCGTAGCGCCGCACGGGGATCTTTGGTGGGGCCGGCAGTGAGCGCTGGCGAGGCGGCCCATGAAGGATGAAAAACCTTTTTCATTTGTATTTTCAAGGGATTTTTAAATGCCATCTTTCAAATATTATTTTGAGCAAGAAAATGACCTCTTTTGAAAATGTACCAAAAATGAAAGTTGTTTAGAATTTAATTCTCTACAACTTTTCTTTTATGACCAAAGCCAAATTCTTTCTAGATTTTGAATGGTAACATCAAAGTCCACGTTTAGCTCAAAACCCTAATTTTTGGAATTTATTTTTGAAGCCAAATTTTTAATTAATTTGAATACTAACATTGCTCCAAAAATTGAACTAAACATTGCTAGATGATCTACAATAGTAGCCAAACATGTTTTGCTACCCTAGCAAGAAAAATTTAGGGTAAAACAATCCTTAAACAGGTGTATGCAACATCTAGGTTCCACGCATGTTTCAGATGTTTCAAAGCAATGTTTCAATTATTATTCACACGATTAAGCATGTATGATTTGGATGCTTGATGATGCATGATATGCGTGATTTGCAGTGCCTAAATGTAGGCATAACACCGGGGTGTTACACGTATGAAGATAATTTTTATATGTAAATTGTATACCTCGATGAGATCTACAACTTTGTAGTTTTGAGTTTTTTCATTTGAGGCCAGTAAGATGCTCGAAAAAATAATATAAAATTTCAGCACCATAATAATCGCCAACTAGCGCTTGCCGTATTAGAACACTAATATATTATTTGTATGGAGTTAAATGAAAATACTTTTTATACCAAAGTTGTAGCTCTCAATGAGATCTACAACTTTGTAGTTTTGAGTTTTTTCATTTGAGGACGTTAAGATGCTTAAAAAACTAATATAAAATTTCGGCGCCTCCTAAAAATATCAAAAGTACTGTTCATACGCAAAACCACCCAGAAGGTTGAAATTTGAACTTTTTCAGGAGTAGGAGGGCCAAAGTTATCCGGTTTTGAAGTTCGAGGTTGAAATCTATACTTTCGCGATAGTTGGAGGGTGTAAATTATACTTTATCCTTTTTTTTTTAAAAAAGTATAATTTCATCGCCCTCAACTCGAACTCAAAACAGATAACTTTGGCCCTTCTTGAAAAGTTAAAATTTCAACCTTTTAAGCAGATTTATGTTAATTTTAGTGCTTTTTTTAGGCGGTGTTAATTACAATAAAAATTTTATCTCAAATGAAAAAACTCAAAACTACAGTGTTGTAAAATCGAGGTCTAAAAAATCTTCATCTCATCGTATTGAAGAGTTTTCTATTTTTTGAAATTAGAGTCTCATCGAGGTCTAAAATTGTTTGTCGCGTGATGAGACTCTAATTTCAAAAAATAGAAAACCCTTCAATACGATGGAGGATGAAGATAATTTTTATATGTAAATTGTAGACCTCGATGAGATTTATAACTTTGTAGTTTTGAGTTTTTTCATTTGAGGACAGTAAGATGCTCAAAAAAATAATATAAAATTTCAGCATCATAATAATCGCTAACTAGCGCTTGCCGCATTAGAGCACTAATATATTATTTGTATGGAGTTAAATAAAAATACTTTTTATACCAAAGTTGTAGCTCTCAATATGCTCTACAACTTTGTAGTTTTGAGTTTTTTCATTTGAGAACGTTAAGATGTTTAAAAAAATAATATAAAATTTTGACGCCTCCTAAAAATATCAAAAGTAGTGTTGATACGCAAAACCGTCCAGAAGGTTGAACTTTTTCAAGAGTTGGAGGGCTAAAGTTATTCGGTTTTAAAGTTCGAGGTTAAAATCTATACTTTGGCGATAGTTGGAGGGTGTAAATTATACTTTACCCTTTTTTTTTTTTTCTCTGACAGCGGCCACCGCCCATCATCGTCCTCTCAATTCTCATCGGTGATCGGCTCATAGCACTCCACTCGACCTTTTTTTTACAAGACCACTCCACTTGACCTTGCATAAATGCATAGTTGCATCGCATTGGATTTGGTTTGGTTTTGGTTGGAGCAAGTTCGTTTTGGCGGGTAGCGTTGCAGTGGCAGGCGAGCACAGAGGGGATCGGAGAGCATCAATTCCATCCACCTTGCCGGGGTGAGTTGGCCAAGAAGGCCGGCAGCAAGAAAGAGGAGGGGAGATGGTGCCCTGCGCCCAGCAGCTGCAGCTGCCCACCGCTCCTCTCCACACTCTCCGTCAAGCGGGCAGGATTCCGCTTCGTCGTCCGCATCGCCGCAGCGGCCGTACCATCGCCGCCATGATCTCCGCCTCCGCCTCCTCCGGCACCCCCAACCCCGTCGTGGTACGGTGCTGATTCCCTTCCCTTCCCATAAGGCTAGGTTCCGTCCTCCTCTTCCTCCGTCTCGGCCTCAGCCCCTCCTGCTCCTCTCCCGTTTGCAATGTGCTTCTGCAGCTCGGGTGCGGCGGCATCTCCGTCGACTACCTGGCCACGGTGGCGTCCTTCCCCAACCCCGACGATAAGATCCGAAGCCTCGCCCTCAAGGTGCAGGGGGGCGGCAACACTGGCAACGCGCTCACTGCAGCTGCACGCCTCGGCCTCCGTCCCAGGATCATCTCCAAGGTCCATTCTTGATTTCCCTCTCCCTTCCCTTCAACTGGATGCAGCTAGTCAACGCATCACCTTGCTCTAATGCATAAAAGAATCCATCCATTCCGTCGGGATCAGGTAGCCAACGATGCTCAAGGAAGAAGCATCCTCAACGAGCTCCAATCTGATGGCGTCGACACATCCTACATCCTGGTGCGAATTGCTATCCCCCAACGATTCAGTGCCAATCACTCCGGTGCTAATATCACTGTCCTCAAGAATGCTGCATCCATCCATTTTTTTTTCAGGTGGCAGAGAACGGGAATTCAGCATTCAGCTACATAATAGTCGATGAGCAGACGTGAGTTCACTTGACAAGCTCCCTCTCTTGTGAACGTCCCCTACTTTTCATCCTGGAACAGGGATGCCTTTTTATTTAGCCCAATTATCTTACTGAATTATATTCGAACATCCCCTTTTGACTTTCAGGAAAACTCGTACATGTATACACACTCCTGGTTCTCCGCCCATGGTACCAGAAGAGCTCACAAAGGCAAACTTGTCGTCCGCTTTAGACGGCGCGGACATCGTCTACTTCGATGTACGATTGCATGACACTGCTTTGCTTGTTGCAGAAGAGGTAATTTCTTCCAGGCACAATCCCTCTTAGTGCACAAGAACAAAACAGAACAGAACAAAATATAGTCCCCTATTTCTGTAGTTTTGATTGCAAATAGCTTATAATAAATAGATATGGCTTGGAATAGGAAAGTTGTTTTTATTTTCTCCATGTTGTCAGCCTACAACTTCTGTTGCATTAATGCCACGCATAAGCCTTTTTATGGTTCGTTTTCTCCTTTCTGTACTGCTACTGAGACTGACCTGTGTTTATGGAACAATCCAGTGCAGGCAAGTCAAAGAAAAATCCCTATTTTAGTTGATGCTGAAAGAAAGAGGGAAGGGCTGGACGAGCTTCTTAATTTTGCATCTTATGTTGTATGCTCAGCAAAGTTTCCTCAGGTAAGCTGTTGGATTGCAGAAGAGCATAAGTGCATAATCCTGCTCAAGACATGCCCAGTTTACTGTTGTCAAGTTTTACTATAAATACATTGTTGTTTTACTAGCTTCTCCTTGTAGCAATGAAAACCACTTACATTTCCTCTGGCTGAGGCAAGAATTTTCTTTATATACTTCTCAAGGTGTATGGCTCGCTTTCATATTATTTATGATGCAAAAGTGTGTTGGCTTTGCTTTACTGTAATCTAGCTTAGAGTGGTAACTGTAGTTGGATTAGCATAATTAAATCAGGTGGTTGGCAACAAAATTTCATTGTGCTGGATATTTTGGAATTCACTAAGGCTTTGGCCTTTGGCATATGTTTACCACTTTCAGTTCTCTGGTATCTTGTTGATTAGTGATTACATTCTTTCCACCTGATCTAAATTTGTAGGCTTGGACAGGAGCCTCATCAACACCTGTTGCTTTAGTATCCATGCTTTCAAGGTTACCAAACATCAAATTTGTTATTGTAACTCTGGGGGAGAAAGGTTGCTTAATGCTTGAGAGAAGCATGACAGGTTAGTTTACCGTAGCTCTATGTGTTAATGTTAGTTAAGTATATTAGATATGACAAGGATACAGGGGATTATGTATTGTATCATCAAAGGATCCAGTGATATTTTTTTTCTTCTTTTTTGGAAAAACACACACATGTTGCAGATGCTTCTGAAGCAGGGGAAATAGATGCAGAGGCTTTATTCGAATCACTAGAGAAGAAAGTTGACCGGAGTTCCAATATACCAAAATGCATTGCTTCCAAGGTATGATGCCTTACAAGTTACAATGCATATGGGCTGGGTGTATTTTTCCACATATAGCTACATTCCTCTATCATCTTGAACTATATCTAGAAATATAATCACAGGGTTGGAGCTGCAATACACTTTTTTGGTTTCAAAATTAAAATTGAAATAAGGGGCATCACCGCATCAAAATCTCTGCTTCTAGACTAGCACATCTTTTGGATTATATCAGTGGCAATCTGTCTGAAATTATTGAGTCATTATGCTCACAATTTTGAATAGTATTTTCCTAATCCATTTCTTTATGCTTCTGTTTGTTTTCAGCCAAACTTGAGAATACGCGCAGATGGAGTAGTCTCGATAAGTGGCAGGTTACTTCTAGGTACTGCTGAAGTTATACCACCTGGTGAACTTGTAGATACAACTGGTGCGGGAGATGCATTCATTGGAGCAGTTCTATATGGTCAGTGTGCGACGTTTCCTTTTCGACGCCACATATGACTACAAAAACTGGTTCTTCTGTTTATTGCTTCTATTTTGTTGGTGAAGCTAGTCAACTTCCTTTTTTGAAATCAGTTGTGTCAAGTGAAGCAATTAGTTTCCTGTGTTATGCCGATATAATGGTCTGTACCAAAGTTGTTGAAGTTCTGGTTACATAATGCTCTTTCCATTAACCTAGTAACTACTGATGACTACAATACCAAAACAAATACAGTACACGACCTGCTTGCATCTGATTGTTGTTTCTTTGTGATCTCAACCAGAAGCACTTTGTTTAGTTATAAATTTGATTACTGAGTCAGTTTTGAAATGTTTACTATGTGGACTAATTGTTTTGTTCTTTTGGACTAGGTTTATGCACTGGCATGCCACCAGAGAGGATGCTGCCTTTTGCTGCACAAGTGGTAAGGCACTTTTTATTAATGTAGTCTCTGTTGATCAAACTAGTTAAAGAAGGAAGTTGCCACTAGTAATTGCGCATTGCAATGCATGGCTGCTGCTTACTTTGTTCTTGTTGACTCTCAAATTTGATGCCCCCTGGTGATGTGATCATGTCCGAACAATTCTCTTATAAATCAAAGTGTTTGTGCAAAATATGCAGGCTGGTTGCGGTTGCAGAGGTTTGGGGGCTCGAAGCAGCCTTCCCCATCGCACAGATCCACGCCTGGCTGGCTATTGATCTGAATTCAGCAGGACTGCATCCTGTTTGACCACCTGCCTGCACCCCGTCCAATGGTTCTGAATATTCCAATAGGATCGGATACAATAAGATGCATAGCTTGTAAGAAAGCAGATTGCAGCAGTAGCTATTAGCAGCACATCAAGACTATGTTAAAAGCCCCTGAAAACCAGAGGTTTATTTCCTTTGTTTACCCATATATTATTATTTTGCGGAAGATTATGTTGTTCCGGAGCCCTGATTTGATTTACCATATGTATACTGCCTATTTGGTGGTTAGGATCCTAGTGTGGAGCCATCTGACACAATAGCATGGATGCTAGAGTAGTTCGGAAGCTAGTTCACATGTTTCCTAACTTTGATGTATGCCATGTAATGCTGTCCAAGAGTCAGCATCAACTACATCAGTTTGCCTCAAGGCTGTTGTGTTTGGCTCGAGGATTTTCCATAGCCTGTTTCACATACTGTAACCAACGATTGAGTTGAGCTGGGTTATTGTTGCATCTTCCATTAAGGGCTTGTAAACTGGTAGTGGATCTTACGCACTGAATTGCATTGTCGAGACAAGTTTAACAAATAACTTTGGATATAAATCTCTACAGTTGGGACTCACCTGCTTTTTTTAAGGTTCAAAAAAAAGATGAATTGTCAAAAATGATACAAAATCTGATTGTCACGAGGTCTGCCCTAATAAAAGTTAAAGGTTGAGTTATGAAAATGATACAAAATTGATTGTCACGAGATCTAGAATTTTTCAAAAAAAAAATTAAATTTTCTACCAATAAATTTTCCACCCAAATCTTCTTTCGCAAGCCCATGTTCAGGCTTTTGCATGGTTGGCCCAGTACCGATAAGGAGGTGGCATTTAAGCCACATACAGCCCACGCGCCACAATCTTTCACCCGGCCCACGCGGCCCGAGCAATGGACACATGAATGGTCTGGCAGCCTGGCACACCACCCAGCCCATGTAGCCACGTCGTTCTGCGTGCAGCTCATATAAAAGGCACCCCCGTATCCGGTAGGGTTTTCTTCTCGCGCCGCCGCGGAACACCACCCAGTCGAATCCCCCACCCGTACCCGGAGCAGAGGAGAGATGGCGGAGAGGAAGGGAGGAGCGGCCAGGAAGGAGGAGGTGGTCACCAGGGAGTACACCATCAACCTCCACAAGCGCCTCCACGGCTGGTACCTCTCCTCCTTCTCGCCACCTTGCTGCGCGCTGCACACTGTTCTCGCTGCGAGATCCGGTTCGCTCGCGAGATTTCGTTTCTCTGCAGATAGTATTTATTTTCGTTCTGCTGCAGATAGTATTTAGGTGCGGTAGCAGGTGGTGTTTTTCTATTCGATACTACTCGTAGACAAGATCTCTCGGTTCCGCAGTTCCTGGGGCTCAACTAGTGTATGTTCTATGCGATCAGTTATATTCTCTTCGTACTTTGCATATGACCACGAGGAGATGAAACAATTCGACAACGTTGCCTGCTTGCTTTGTAATTTTTATAGTGGCACTTGTTTGATATTTTCTTCATTTCATTTGCTAATTACTTGAAAGGTAAATGTAATAAGCATCTAGCACCGCCCATTTTTTCCATTAAGAATTGCAAAATTTGCTACCAGTTAGGAATTGATGGACCTGTCTTAAGAAGATATAGCCTGTATATGCTGAATTAACATTCTTATAAGGGGCCGTTTGGATCCTTTCATTTGGAGGAATTGGAACTTACTTAATAAATTAGACTATTTGGCTTGGAATTTGACATTCCACGACTTTCCAAAGTTCACATATAAGCCTATCTTAAATTCATAGGGTGGGAGATGGAAATTGATTCTATAGATCACCATTCTATGTTTCTACTTTGCAACTTATAACACGCTCTTCAACTTGCTCCCCTAAGTTAGAAATGCAACACATAAGTATCTCTCTCATATAGCCAAAAATAATACACAAATATAACCATATTAGCTTAATTAATGTGTCTAAATTATGATTATTAAAATGAATTCAATTCCAAGGATCCAAATGGGGCCTAAGGTAAAATTTTAGTGACTGTTGGGTGCTTATATACCATGCAAGGCTTAGAAGCCTCAGGAGACTGTGCATTCATTGATTTTGGCATTGTCTGCATGAGTATAGACTCAAATAACCAAGCATGAATTGAAAGTTGGCTGCTTTGATTGCTTGTTTAGCTTATTTGTCTAGAATCAAAATCATTTGGATCCAATGTGTCCGTATATTGTTCCATTTCATTTCAGTTGCTGAATGCCTATCCAAGTGTCTTATATCTGAATGGCCTCTTCTTATTTCTGCTTAACCTTGTACTGTTATTGGAACTGAAGGTTACTGAATGCCATGGTCCCACTTTCTTCTTACCAACATTTTCGTATGTTTGGCAGCACATTCAAGAAGAAGGCACCCAATGCTGTCAAGGAGATCAGGAAGTTTGCGCAGAAGGCTATGGGCACCATCGACGTCAGGATTGATGTGAAGCTCAACAAGCACATCTGGAGCAGCGGAATCAGGAGCGTGCCACGGAGGGTTCGTGTGAGGATTGCCCGCAAGAGGAATGACGAGGAGGATGCCAAGGAGGAACTCTACTCCCTTGTCACCGTCGCTGAGATCCCAGCCGAGGGCTTGAAAGGACTGGGAACCAAGGTCATTGACGAAGCGGATTAAGCTATCACATTCTCTACATCTTTAGAGAGCTCTTAGTTTGTATTTGCAACAGCAAACCTTTTGTATCCAAAGAAGTTTTGTACTCTGGTACTGTGATCGACATCACAAAGTTGTCTATTTCCTCAATCGAATTACATGGCTAGTTCTTTCGTTTGTGCTTTACATTCTCAGTTGTGTTCCTTGGATATATGTAAATCGTGAGTATGGTTTAGCAACTTCGTGGCTTGGAATCTCCCATTTCAATGACAGGTGACTTGTAATCTCCCATTTAAATGAAGGGTGAATTCTCTTTTTAGCTGAAACATATGTCCGACAAGCTTGACTAAATTGTTGAGATTTGTTGTGAAAGATTTGAGGAACATTTGTTCACTAGTATTTGTGATGGGAATGCTAATTGATCAGCCATCACAATCCAGGTGGCAGCTGGCTGCAAATGTTGTGGGGTATTGGTTGAGGGAGAAGACACCTGCATTGAGAATTTGATCAGGTCACTATGTATGATCAAACGCCAAGCTCCACATCAAGTTGCATTGAACTTAATGGATCGGCGCAATCCCATCCAAAGTAGCATCTGCAGATGGGGAGTCACCGTCGGCGGCCGCCGTCCGACTGCGATTGGTTTCCGTTGGCCCGTCACCATACACTGATATGTTAAGAATAGTGGAGACAGCTCAAAGGTAAGTGTCTCAAGTGCCCATCAAATTGTTAGGTGAAGAGAATGTCATATATCATTATACAATTGTAGCTCAATACTGCATTAGTATCTTTGCCGACACCCTACAGGCCTACACAACAGTGGCCTGGTAAACATACTTTCATTTCACAAACTTGCACCGTCCATAGTGTTATTCGTATGTATCTGAGTTTTGCTGCTATACTACAAAAGAGCTACATATATAGGATTGTGGGAATGTACTGTACAAGAAAGTGTTGCATTTTACTGTAAAGAATGCTGAAGGGCCTACGCAAATAGGGACTTCTTTTGCTCTCATGGGGCAGCTGTATAAGAGATTTTAGGTTTTACAGGTTTATCCATCACCGTTGCTCCAACCATACTTCTCTTAGGAGTGTGTATCTTGTATTCTCCATAGAAACTCCTCTCTGAGAACTGAAATGTGCGAAACCGTTTGATGGTGAAGGTGGAGCGCTCCTGTCGATTAGGGATGCAAGGGGAGAATCCAGGTCATCAAGGTCATCATCACTGGTATACCCTCTTCTCTGCACCATTGAGGCTTTCCTGTCCAGCTTTGCGCCACCTCCTATGTCTGCCACTTTCTCTGCCGCATCCACCGTTGAAGGTGCACGGTACACTATAGGAGCAGCGATGCATGGAAACACATTGATCACATCTTTGTTGGTGTGACGCTCCAGCAAGCTCTGCATAGCATAAGTATGTATCAATGCATTTGAGTGATATTGTTAGCAAGATAATATGTATAAGGCTGGAGTTGAAAACGAGAGTGGAACAAACCTCAGAATTCAGCTCTTCTAAGACTGTGCTAGGAACCGCATCAGGGCAAAACTCATCTGGGGTGAAGTTGCACAGGATTCTTGTCACTAATTGAAGGCCAATTGAAGGGCAGACCTAAGAAAGACATTAAAAGGTTAACCACGGCGGAATTGATGGTTACATAACAAGAGGAAACAGTATAATAATTTGCCGGTTGCTATGCACAAACACTGACCTCTTTCCTGATAGATTTTTCAAGAAGCATGTCCTTTGGGAGCATCAGGAGATCACTTAGTTCATTAAGCAGTTGAAATGATTTTGTTTCAGCTCTGCCTCTTCTTTCATCTTCAACATCTCCTATGTCATCAGAATCATCATCATCTATGCCAAGCTTATCTGTCAGCCATCTGGACCAGTTTCCAATCTGCATAGTCATTTTATTTCATATAAATTCGTTGTTTGAGGTGAGGTGTAATAGCAAGATCCAATCGCATTTGTATCTAGTATTGTTCCTTAGCAAGCTACATCCTGACAAACAACTCATAACAATTACAAAAAAAAGGGAAATGGTAGTAACGCACAAAAAGCGAGTGAATCAGGCACGTACAGAGTTCTTCAGCTGCGCGCGCCTGACCCAAAGCTTAGATCACCAGCTGGAATTGGTAGGACTTTTGGGTCAACAATTGGGTCAGATATAGGGTCTGTTGGTATCTCACTTGCTGATTCACGAAGGATGGCATTAAACATGGCAACATCCAAACGGGCTACACATTGTTCCATCACCTAATAATGAAGAACCCGTTTAGTTCAGAAATATATTTGCAGTAACAAAAAAATGCTTATTCTTTCAAATTAAGGATTTTTTAAAAAAATACCAGTTTTGCTAATACTGGTAAACAGCCACACTC